AGGAGAGGAGAGGAGAGGAGAGGAGAGGAGAGGAGAGGAGAGGAGAGAAGGAGAGAAAGAAAGAGGCAGGTCTGTCATGACCCCATTTGACCTTGCAGCTTTGATCCTTTTTCTCCTTCATAGCCAACTACTTCATTTCTCACTAACATCTCAATTAACTATAGTAGGGCTTCTATCCCAACCCCTCCATCAAATCCACTCCATTAAATTCTTTAGTTCCATATAACTTCCCCAAGTAACACCAGTCTTGTCTTCAGAGCATTAGACACATGGCTGAAAAGCTCTTTTCAGATAATTCTTTCTTTGGCTTTCATGACATCATACTCTCCTGGATTTTGATCCTTCTCTATTGCTGGTCCTTCTTAGTTATTTCTGAGGGTTCCCCACGTTCTGCACAACATTGATCTTTCTACACTGGTTATATACTCAGTCAACACATTTTCACTGAGTTTTCTAATATGTCCCCCAAGATTTCAATTATCTTATATACCAGCGATACTCCCAAATTTAACATATACTTTTTTCCGAAGCTCTAGCCAAATATCAAATTGCCTACTGGTATCTCTGACTAACTACCCCATAGGGCACTCAGTACTCAGTGTCTGTGCTCAAAATAAAACACAAAGTCACAATTTCCCTCATGATCCCCAACTTGCTACTGCCATCTTCTCTATTCCCGAGCCTGGAGAACCATTATCTCCCCAGTGGCCTGAGGGCTAACCCTGGGAATTCCTTCTCCCCTTATTCTCATCACTTAATAACCAAACCCTGTATATTCTCCTTCCTAAGCATCTACTCAACCTGCATACTTTATTCCATCCTCATGGCCACCAGCATTATTACTACAGGGGATTACTAAGTGTTCTTTCTACCCAGTGCCCATCTCCTCTCTAGTGATCTTTCTAAAAGACAAGGTTGACCAAGCTGTTTTCCTACTGAAAATGCTCCAATGGCTTACCAGTGCACTTAAGATAAAAATCTAAACTCTTCAACCACCTTATCAGGCCTCACCTGCCCTCCAACCTCAACTCAAACTATTAATGACTTCCAACTCTCTGCTCCAGCTCTATGTAATGTGTTGTGCTCTCTCTCATCTCCGTTTCTCAGAGCAGTGGTTTTCTACATCAGATTGGAGACAACGCAGATTGGAGGGATTTTAAAATACAGACTACTGGCATATTCTGAAAATTTCTGATTCAGCAGATGTGAAGTGGGGCCCCAGGCGATACTGACGTTGCCGGTCCAGGGACCACACCTTGACTTCCACTGGCCCCAAACAATCTTCCCTCTATTTTTACCTGGCTGCCTTTTTTTCATTCTTCGTGCAGTTGAAAGGTTATTCTTTCTACTCAACTTCCCTAACCATTCCCAAGTCTAGGCAAGGTGTTTTCTACTGCAATTGCCTATATTTATCCCATAACAGCACTCACCACACCGTATATTAATAATTGCTCAATTAACTCTTCCTCATACTAGGCTATAAACCCTATCAGAACAGAGATTCTCACCTTGTTGTTCACTGTCGTATAGCATCCAACCGTTAGACAGATTAGATGCCAAATATATAGGTTGCATTAATCCATTAAAGATAATTCCAGAGATGTTTACACTTCATAACTTTCCTTTCTGGAAAGGATATACAATCTACAAAAAATATATTCTAACTATAAATGCAAGGCTGCCTTCTTTCCTTTAGCTCCTACGACCATTTACTTTTTCTGGACACCTACATTTTTACGCCAAATATGAAGCACATAGTACTTCACGGCATTCCAATTTCTGAACACCAACTGTTAACAAAGTCAACTGGTGATACAGGCAGCCTCTTCGCTTTTCCCAACTTAGAAAAACTAAACTAAGGATAAAAACATATAAAAAAGCGCAAATTGTCTTTTTAAGCCACGATGTGTTAAGAAGAGTGAAACTGACAGATATTCTCTAGAGTATCCCACATGCTGCATTAGCAAATGGCACGTGACCAAATCCTCTGCCATCTCAGACCCTTCAAAAACTGAATCGTTAAAGCCATACCACCTTTAACGACATAACTTACACGATTATTTTATCATCTGTGAAATAAGAAGATTGAGCTAAATTTTACATAAGGTTAACCTCAGATTTAAAATTCTACACTAAGAAAATTCTGGATAACAACTTTGTATGTCATAAAAATTGCCAGCTAAATACTAAGACAGTATAAAATGTGCCTGGGATTAA